GACCAGAGACTGCGGACACAGTACAGGAGATGACCAGAGACTGCGGACACAGTACAGGAGATGACCAGAGACTGCGGACACAGTACAGATGACCAGAGACTGCGATGACCATTCACAAAGCGAAGCGCATGCGCAGTGGGCACCCGGCTGTCACAGAAGCCAGCGCGGGAAGACTGTGCAGCGCTGGAGCGAGGAACAGGTAAGGCCCTGCAGGAGACAACAGCTGAGCGGCCGGCCCGGTATTCTGACATGGTGGCGGCAGAAATACCGGACCGGCCGCTTTTATATTCGCTCCATAAGACGCACTGACATTTCCCCCCCTTCTTTTGGGGGAAAAAAGTGCGTCTTATGGAGCGAAAAATACGGTAAATGGTAGTCCCAGTAGTAATTCCCTGCGCACCACCTGGGATCCCTCGGCCCACGTTCCGGACCCCACAGATGAGCTGCCCAATATATAACTTACGGCCCTCCACTAGTGATTCTGCGAACGCCACTGAGGACTCCAGGGATCTGTCGAGCGGGAATTGACGTCATCAGCCGGCACACAGAGAAGGAAAGCACAAATCTCACGAGATCTCAGACGTCGCGAGATTTGGGCTCTCCTTCCTGCGCCAGCTGATGATGTCAAGAGATCGCTGGAGTCCTCAGTAGCTTTCAGGGAATCACTACCGGGGGCCGTAAGTTATATATTTGGGTAGCTCACCTGTGGGGCCGTTTCAGTCCGGAACGCGGGCCGCAATTGGCCCGCAGGCCGGACTTTGGACATGCCTGATATATGGGAAGGGTCGATCAACTGGTATCGATAAAGCAGTTAATATCAAGGTCTATGTTAAGACCTTCAGGAGCTGACGTTCTCAACAAGAAAATCCATTTCGTCTCTAATTTGGATACTTCACGTTTTTTGAGCATACCTCTCCAGTGATTTTTAATCATGTCTATACCAATAAAATTCAGGCAATGTGGGTTTCTGCCATGTTTTCTCCTAAAGTGTAAGGACAAAGAGTTTTCTCTGAACCCTTTCTTAATGTTCGACAGATGCTCTCTTAATCTATCCCTTAATCTTCTGATCGTTCTTCCTATGTATTGCTTGCCGCATGAGCATTCCAGCAGATACACCACGTGTGTACTATTGCACGTGATGACTGACTGTATGTCATAGGATTTCCCCGTCTGATTGGACCGGAAAGTTGTCACCGGTTTCTTGTGTGTGCCGTTATTGGTACAGATCATGCATCGATTGCACGGATAAAAACCTTTCCGGTTAAAGAAAAACGATAGCTCCTTTGGGGGGTCTACCACGTTTGGGGCTATAAGATTTCTCAAAGGGGGTGCTTTGCGGTATACAATTTCAGGGATATCCGGCAGAGCTTTCCCCAAAATGGGGTCATTTTTCAAAATCGGCCAGTTTTTGTTGATGGTTTTCGCTATTTGTTTAAATTGAATAGCCAGTAATAAACGGACAAAAAATGTTTTTCTTAGTTGGATTCGTGTCCGTAGAGACAAGCAGATCTTCTCTATTTAAATTGCCAACCTCTTTTATATCTTCCTCTAAGTGCATTGGGTTATACCCTTTATCTACAAACCTCTTTTTAAGGACCTGGGATTGAGTGTTGTAATCAACCATATTGTCGCAGTTTCTGCGTATACGCAGAAACTGCCCTCTCGGGATGGTATCCAGCCATCTGGGATGATGTCAGCTATCTTTTGGTATGAAGCTGTTCCTGTCTGTAGTCTTAAAAAAGCTCTTAGTTAAAAATTTTTGTCCATCGTTAAAAAGGGTCAGATCTAAAAAATTTATCTCACTGTAATTGGAATGTTAATTTGATGTTGAGATCATTAGAATTTAATGTGGTAAAAAAGTTTTGTAAAGAGAATTCATCCCCATTCCATAGTAATAAAAATATTGTCTATGTAGCGACGATAGAAAATGAGGTGAGGCCACTCAATGGAATAAATTAACTCCTCTTCCCATTTCACCATGAACAAATTGTAGATTGTATACCATCACTTGCATCTTGACAATGATATATATTCCTCCTCTGTTCTCTAGGGTAGTGCTGCGAGAACTGGTGTCTCTCATACTTTTTTTTTTTAACAAGTAGGTGTCCTTCATACTTACTAAACCTGATGTACCTGTTTATTTATATAATGGGTGATTTTAATGGCATTCTAAATTCTGGGCTAGATAGATATCCCCCCGTCCCCTACAGCCTCTTCCACTAGGGGCACAGCTCCTAGTGGAAATGGGATGGATAGACATTTGGAGACTGAATCATCCAGATACTCATCAATTTTCTTGTTTCTCCAAAACATATACATCCCTCTTCCACATTGATTTTTGTGTGGGGACGTCATCTGTTATCCCACATGTAAGGAAGATTCAATATGCTACATGGGGATTATCTGACCATTCTCCACTTGTGCTATGGCTCATGGTTCAGTTTCTCCATACCCTTCTGAGAGCCCCATGGCAGTTAAATGCGTTCTGGCTTAAGCTGCCCCCACTTGGTAACAACATATAGAAAATTTATTTTCTGACAATGTTCATTGTGATAATGAACTTGTCAGATCAGATGCCTTCTGCGGGAAATCTTTCTTTCAACTATTAATGCAATTAAAACTGACACCAAGGCCTATGAGGTACAACTAACCCAGCAAGTCAGGAGGTTGGAACAGGAGTATATATCTTCTTCTTCAGAGCAATCAAAAGTCTTTTGGTTATCCACCCAGAATACCTTGACTAAACTACACAATTCCAAAGCTGAGAATAAAATGTTTATTTTCTAAAGTTATATTTTATGAGGTGGGGGAACAGACTGGCTGTCTCCTAGCCAAAATTGTAAATGTTAGACCCACTGCCCCGGCTATAGGGGCCCTGAGGCTGCAGGATGGCCATCTGGTTAATACACCTGAAGCCATTATGACTGAATTGGTTCGATTCAATTTGGACCTATATGCTTCCAAAGCGTCTTATACACAAGAGGAGCTTCTAAATTATTTACAATCTGTTCCAATTCCACAATTATCAGGTGCTCAGCAGATACGTTTAGACGCTCCATTAACCCTAAAGGAAATTCAAGAGGCAGTCGGAATGTTCCCAACCTCCAAAGCCCCTGGAGATGAGTTACCAATAGAAAATGCTCTGAATTGCTTCTACCATGACTCATGACGGTATATAATGAAGCCCGGGCTAGACAACAATTACCAACTTCAATGTCTAGGGCTAGCATAACTTTATTGCTGGAGCCAGATAAAACCTGCTGAGCCTAACTTGTACAGGCCCATATCGCTCCTTCAATCTGATATCAAAATTCTAGCTAAGGTACTTGCCAGGAGACTAAACTCTGTGATTCATTCATCAAGATCAAGCTGGCTTTATGCCGAATAAGTCCACAGCAATTATTATTAGGCTGTTTGTTAACATGCAGACCCCAGCAGATAATGAAGGAGACAGGGTTCTTATGTTGTTAGATACCAACAAAGCATTTGACAATATGGAGTGGAGATATCTGAGGGCAGTGTTGGAGAAGTTTGGCTTCTTGGTCCACCTTCTGTACTACCAACCACAGGCAGTCATCAGAGTGGGGGGCAAAACATCCATTCCATTTGCACTGGGTAGATGCACTAGGCAGGGCTGCCCCCTCCCCCCCTATTATTTGCCCTTGACATAGAGCCATTGGCTGCACAGAGCCAACGATGACATTGTTGGGTTCAGATATGGCACTATTCGGGAGAAAGATCTATTCTATGTGGATGGCATGCTCTTATTAAACTATTATATACTGATATACTAAGGCTTCCCTGTAAACTGTTATGTCAAATGTAACTGATTTTAGAACATTTTCAGTGCTTACAATAAATTGGACAAAATCTGCTTATTACCTTTTGGCCAAGAAATTGACCCTCAGATTTCGTTGTTCTGCCCAGTACCACTGGTAACCTCATTTAAATATCTGGGGATAGTGATTTCACCATGGCCAACAGACTACAGTCGATTTAACATTTTATGAATGCTTATGAAATTTAGATGTTGCATCCTCTAGTGTGCTACTAGAATAGTGTAGTGTACTGTAGGTAAAACCATTGTGTATAACTCATGGTAATTGTGTGAGTCTGTGATTGAGGTTGGGTTATTGCAGGTCAGCTGGATGACTCTTCAGGTTGTGGCTCTATCGCCTCCTCCTGACTCTGCGGGACCATAGAACCTTCCAGAAGTCGGTAAACAGGAAGGGGTGGAGACCTAATCTGCATGTTCATGCAAGTCCAGCCAATCCCAGGTTTGGAGGTTTCCCCTTAACATGCTTTTTTACTACTTACAACTGCAGCATGCAGTGAAGGCCCAGAGGACTTTGGAGACCCAGGAGATGTCACCAAACTTTTGGTCTTATACAGCACTCTCGCTCTACAAAGAGCTTAATTTCCAATTGTTATGGGGGAATATCTGGAGAGCTTTCCCACAGCATGCGAGAAATGGGAGGGAGAGATTGGCGATATACTGGGAGAACAGTGGGGAAGCTGTAGAATCTTTACACTTACAGTATGTTCCTTAATGTCTTGCAACATATCTCACAGCTATACATTCTACTAAGAGTACACCATACTCCACTAAAGCTACACTCCATGGACATACGCCCAGATCCCCTGTGTACTGGGTGTAACAGAGACACAGTGGACCTAATACGTTTATTATGGAGATGCCTAAAGCTTCACTGCTACTGGGAAATGGTGGTTGCCAATGTTAACTTCAGGTATCCATCCCACTGGAGCCTAAATTCTGTCTCCTAGATATCCTAGATCAGTGATGGCGAACCTATGGCACGCGTGCCAGAGCTGGCACGCAGAGCCATCTCAGTGGGCACGCCAGGAGGAAGAGGAAGAGAACGCGCTCTCCTGCGCACCTCCGGGGGCGCGCACCGGGCGATCTCCGTGATCGCTGTGTCCTGCGGACACAGCTGATCACGTGACATGGTAAAAGGCCAATCACAGCGGCCTTTTACCACGTGATCAGCCGTGTCCAATGACACGCTGATCACCGGGAAATGCAAATGCCGGTTCTCGGCTGCACTTTCCTCACGCTGTCAGATCGTGAGGAAAGTACTGCCGAAAACCGGCAGTTGTCAGAACAGGGATCGGCACCGATCATCAGGGTCACTGATCACCAGTGCCCTGATGATCGGTGCCCACCTGTGCCACACACAAGTTCCGCCCACTTGTGCCCAGCAATGCGCCCACCTATGCCCAGCAGTGCGCCCACCTGTGCCCAGCAATGCACCCACGTGTGCCCAGCAGTGCGCCCACCTGTGCCCAGCAATGCACCCACCTGTGCCGCCCACCTGTGCCCACCAGTGCCACCCATCAGTGCAGCCCAGCAGTGCTGCCAGTCAGTGCCACCAGTCAGTGCCCAGCAGTGATGTCAGTCAGTGCCACCTATCAGTGCTGTCTATCAGTACCCATTATCAGTGTCGCCTATCAGTGCCACCTATCTGTGACACCTCATTAGTGCTGCCCATCAGTGCCACCCATCAATGATGCCCAGCAGTGCCGTCTGTCAGTGCCTCCAGTTGGTGCTGTCAGTGCCGCTTATCAGTGCCCATCATTTCCTGCATATCAGTGCATCATCAGAGCCTCCTCATCAATGCTCACCAGTGCCGTCTCATCAGTGCTACCTATCTGTGCCGCCTCATCAATGCCCATCAGTGCTGCCTGTCAGTGCAGCCTCACCAACGCACATCAAAGAAGAAATATTACCTGTTTGCAAAATTTTAGAATAGAAGCAAAGGAAACCTTTTATGTTTTTAATTTTTTGCTCTTTTTTCATTTATAGTGCAAAAAATAAAACACCCAGTGGTGATTAAATACCACCAAAAAAAGCTCTATTTGTGTGAAAAAAAGATAAAAATTGCATATGGTTACAGTGTTGCATGACCGCACAATTGTCTTTGTTAAGTGCAACAGCACTGAAAGCTGAAAATTGTCCTGGGCAGGAAGGGGGTAGAAGTGCCCGGTAGGCAAGTGATTAATTCCAGTGTTGGCACTTTGAAATAAAAAAGTTGGTTTTGTGTTGCAGTTTGGGCACTGGGGCTCAAAAAGGTTCGCCATCACTGTCCTAGATGTTGTAATACCAGACAAGTAGTAGAAATGCAGCCTCCAGAACCTTGTTTCAGGCCCACAGGCTCTTACTATTACAGTAGACCTCTCAAACTCCCCCTTCACTGCATCAGTGGCTTGGACAGATGGGTATAACATTACAGTATGAAAAAATTATATATCAGTATAGAGAAAGCTCCTCCTAATATCATAAGGTATCGGGGGGGGGGGGGGGGGGCGCACCTATGGATCTGGTGATAGATAGCTTATTGTTTTAGAGTATGATGTACTCAGGTGGGTTTGGTGCTGATGACTGGAGGAGAGCTTTATGAGGTTGTTTAAGTTACCCTTCACTGATCTGTGGGCTCTGTAACCCCCACAAAAATGGGTTCTAGATATGATTTTCTAATGTATTATAGTGCATGCATTACTGTTCTGGTGTATTTCACTTTACCTATATTCAGTTTGTAAGCTTTCTTGACTGATTTTCATGTACCCTGTTTGCTTGTAAAGTTTGGTGACATCTCAAAAAAAATTTTTCCTGATTTAACCGCATGCTGCCCAGCCACTGTTCATATACGGCGGCAGGGCGGCACTCACAGGCAAAACCACATTTTAAAATGTGTGTTTTGTAAACAAATAGGGGGCGCGCGAGGCGCACCGCCGCCCTATTTGTCCCGCCGTTCACCGCCGCAGATGTCAGTCGCCGGGTCACAGCCACTCCTTAGCGGCTATGTCCCGGTGATCGGCGGCAAACAGTGACAGAGAGCACAGCTGCAGTAGCTGTGCTGTCTGTCACTTCCCTGTCAGCTCGAGGATGAGCTGATCGAGAAAGAACAGTTTCTCTTTCTGGATCAGCCTTGTCCCGCCCAGTACACACACCCCGCCCCCTAGTAAAACACTCCCCTCACTCCTATAACCCTTCCCTGCAAAATAAAGTTAACCCCTTCCTCCCCATTGCCATTAGTACAATGTCAGTTTTTTTTTTCTTGCACTGATCACTGTATTAGTGTTTTTGGGGATGTCAGTGACCCCAAGTCAGTACCCCCCAATGTCAAAATGTCCGCCGCAGTCCCGCCATAAGTCGCTGGTCGCTGCCATAAGTCCCTGATCGCCGCCATAATTCGCTGATCGCCGCCATTATTAGTATAAAAAAAAAACCTAAAAATCCCAGTATCTTTCCCGCCATTTGTAAACGCTAGAACTTTCACGTAAACCAATTAATTTACACGTATTGGGGGTTTTTTTAGCAAAGACATGTCGCAGAATACATTTTGGCAGAAATTTATGACTAAATTTGATTTTTGCATTTTTTTTTTACTGGACATGTTTTATAGCAAAAAGTCCAAAATATTGTTTTTTTTTTTCCTCAAAATTGTCAGACTTTTTTTTTTATAGCACAAAAAATAAAAACCGCACAGGCGATCAAATACCACCGAAAGAAAGCTCAGTTTGTGGGGAAAAAAGGATGTAAATTTCATTTATGTACCATATTGCATGACTGCGCAATTGTCCGTTAAACTAGCGCAGCACTGTATAGCAGAAAAATGGCGTAAATTGCAGTATTTATACCATAGTTTGTAGACGCTATAACTTCCAGAAAAAGCAATCAATATACACTTATTGGGATTTGTTTTACCAAAAAACATGTAGCAGAATACATTTTGGCCTAAATTTATAACCAACTTTGAGTTTACTATATATTCTTTATAGCTGAAAATAAAAAATATTGTTTTTCTTCAAACTTTTTGGCCTTTTTTTGTTTATAGCGTGAAAAATAAAAAGCGCACAGGTGATCAAATTACACCGAAAGAAAGCTCTACTTGTGTGAAAAAAAGGATGTAAATTTAGTTTGGGTGCAGCATTGCATGACCGCGCAATTATCAGTTGAATTAGTGCAGCGCCGAGTAGCAAAAAGAGGCCTGGTCATTAAGGGGGGTAAATCCTCTGGAGCTCAAGTGGTTAAAAAAACAAAAAAGTATTTATAGTAGTGTATTTTGTTATTTAACCTTTCTGCTGCCAGGTCCGTATGTCGAACGGGGGGTGGGAGGGGGGTTACACACAATCCCAGTGGCTACAGCCACCAAATTGCTTGTACAGCTGACAAGTAGACTCCTGCCTGTCAGATGAAAGAATTCTGGCGGCTTGCCGTCCGATTCCTTCCACCCCCCACCCCGGTGACAGCCGCCTACCCCCACAAGCCATGTATTCCAGGCTCTGCTTGCCCATTTGCAGATCCAGGACCAGCATAGTGGGTACCGCTGGGTAGAAGGAAGGAAGCAGAGTGGACACATGCTCACTCTCCTCCCCTTCTTGTTGCTGACCCAGAAGTGATGTTTTACACATATCAGTGTCCCTGCCAGTATAACCAAGAACGTACTGCATCAGATTCTATCTGCATTGCATTAGATTCAGTGGAGCAGAGGGGAGACATCCAGGTTTTTTTTAGACCCTGGATGCCTCGATAAAGAGAACCTGTCACCAAAAAATTATCACTTTTTTTCCCCTATGTGATAAAAAAAAAGTTTTTATATACACACGTACAAATGTGAATGCATGCTTTGGGGGCATCTACGCATGAAAACGCTGATTGTGATACATGCGTTAGATATCGCTGTGCACACCAGAGTGAGAGCAATATTTCTAGTATCCAACCTCCTCCGTAATACCACACCAGTCCTTGAGCTTTGTTTTGAAGTTTTTTTTTAGGCGATTGAACTTGGACGGGGTAAGGTATGTATGAGATGCCCAAGGGTATAGTAACTGAGGAAAACTTCCTGGAACTATGTACATGACCAGGAGTCTCCAAAATTTCTAAACAAAGGGCTTGTTTACTGTACATCAGACTTTAGGAGGGCCGGACTGTGGCCAGCTGGAGTAGAAAATGCCCCAGTGTCAGTGGGAGTAGACAATGTCTCAGTCTTGATGTTCAGTGGGAGTAAAAAAAATTATACAGTGCCTGTGGTCAGTAGCAGGAGCAATGGTGTCCCATCATTGGTGTAAGTGGGAGGAATGCTGCCCCATCATTGGTGTCTGTGGGAGATTCAGTGCCCCGTTGCTGGTGTCAGAGGGAATACTAGTGCCCCATTGTTTATGTAGGTGGGAGGATCAGTGCCCCATCACTGCTGACAGTGGAAGGAAAAATGCCCCCTTATTGTTGTCTGCGGGAGGAATAGTGCCTTGTATCAGTGTGAGGAACAGTGCCCCAAGGGCCACATCCAGGGAAGCAAAGGGCCACATTCGGCCCACAGGACACTGTTTGGAGACCACTGTACAAGTCTCTAGACAAAAATCCTTTTCTTGGAGGGCTAGCCAGCCTCTCTGGATGAACCACCCCAGACCCCAGATACTCTGTCAGGGATCCCCGCGGCGCTGGTCCTGGTGCAGGCGCAGTGCGCCGCCTTGTGCAGGGACGCGGGCACTAGGCATGATATTTAAATGGCCCTGAGCTGTCATTCAGTGCCTTCTGGTCTTACCTGCATTCCTGATCCTGTGAACCTGTATCCTGTAAGTTGCTGACCCGGATTGTACCTGACCATGCTGTATTCTCCTGCTCTGACCCTTGGCTTGTCTGACCTCTCTCCCGGATGCCCCCTATTGGATCTGACTTTCTGTTACTGACCTGGCGTGTGACCCGACTATTCTCTGCCCGCTGCTTTGTACCGCACCGTCCCCACGGCTACCGACCCGGCATGTCTGACCTTGCACCTGCTCAGCCATCCATCCATCCCATCGGGGTCACCCGACCTCCTCATATCAGGCTCTCCCTGCGGGAGCCCCTGGCGAATACCCCTACCACTGACGGGCGTGCTCAGTAGTCACGACCTGGTCTCAGGGTACCCCAAGTCCATTCCCATCATCAGGGGCCCTGGTGAACAAGTGCTCTGGGGCTTAGATTCCGTGCTCTGGGGACGCCTGATTAGTGGAGGCTAGTGGTACCGCCGGGCGGTCCCTTACAGTATCAGAAGGCCATGACTGAGCCTAGAGGAGGGGCCCTCCCCGCTGGAAGACATTTGCAGGCACTTGTCGGCCCTGACACAGGCCGTGGCAGCCCTACAGGACAAATGCATGCATCTGGAAAAACCATTTTCAGACCCTCTCTGTATCTGACACTACCCCGCAGGCCCCTGTTTCTGCGCCTCCAGCTGGAGAGGCTCCTGGGCCAGCCATGGGGGCTTCTGCCCCACCACCTATGGCGGAACCCCGAGTACCCTTGCCGGAACGTTTTCGCGGAGACCGCACTCGCTTTAGGGCTTTTCGAAATTCTTGCCTCCTGTTTTTTGACTTACAACCCCACACCTTCGTGACAGAGTCAGTTAAAGTGGGATTCATAATCTCCTTATTACAGGACGAACCCCAGGACTGGGCCCATCGGTTAAGGGAGAACCATGACCCTCACCTTGAGACGGTGAAGGACTTTTTTGAGGCTATGGCCATCCTATACGATGACCCGCAGCGGGCAGC